ATATATATATATATATATATATATATATATATATATATATATATATATATATATAAAAGTATATGTATAATTGTATATGCGGAGGAGGAAAGAGGAAGCCGCCGAGCTCGTTCTCTGCTTGTGTTCCTGCATCCATGACCTTATCCTTTTTTATTGTTGGAATGTCTGCTCTGCTGCCGCTGTAAGTCTTGTGGTGAAAAATCGAACGAAAAACGTGATCGTTTATCTTATCATTGAGTGAGAAATTCAAGAACTTTTTTGGTAAACACAAATCCATGCGAGGCGAAGCTTTCTGGCAAACGTCGAGAAATATTCTTAAAAGAACACACATTTACAGACTATTATGCGATTGGATTGAGGCCTAATTCTGTTTTAGTTAAACGTGGATGTCAATTTATTGACGATTTATCAAATATTACTGAATCGTTTATCACTTCGCTATTTTATAACCATAATTTCGTTTCATTTTGTTTAATAACAATGTTTCACAATGATAAATAATATTTTTAATCTTTGGAGTAGTTGTCATTTTTTTCCCAAAATATTATAATGTAATGTATTACATATATATATATATATATATATATATATATATATATATATATATATATATATATTTAATATTATTAATGATAATACTTATAATGATGTTAAAGAATGAAATTGTATACAAAAGCTTAATTATCTTTTTAATACAAGGAATACTAATTTCATTATATAGAGTTTTTTTAATACAATGTAGTTTGTTACTATTATATTTGATAAAAATGAAGAATTATACACGTTCTTCTTATTTTTTATTCTTACTTATCGTTAAATTTAATTTTTCATAGTGATGAATACTTAATATTTTGTAAAATGCAACTGTATCTTATTGATTATCATGTGTATTTGACATTTAAAATTATAAAACAAAATGTTACTCAATAGAGAATATAATAGCGAAATTTGATTAATTCAGATGTTGATTTTAATACCCTAAAAGAGTGGAAATACGAGGTGAAATGTGCAACATGGATTGAAACGAGCAACTGTTGATTTTCAGAGCAACTTGACTATAGGGTACGAGTTATAACGTCTTTTTTTTTTTTTAACTTCAGGCGAATTATGACAATGATCACAAAATCATTTCTTTCATTTTTTAATTACGTTCCAAAATGATATTTACAAAATGTATCGGACCATATAATATATATAAATAATGCATATTTAGAAATATGCAAAGGATTGAATACTTTGCGTATTGTATTTTTCATTCGTATGACCGGCAAAATATTTTGAGAAGACTGAATATGTTATATAGCGTATGGCACATAATTTAGTGAATTATGCTTGATGGAAAAAAGAAAAGAAAAAAAATTTAGTATTCCAATATCGTATGATTTATAATCGAAATCAAATTAATGACATTTGTTTTTTTTTTTTTTTTTTTTTTTTTTTTTTTTTTTTTTTAACAATACTATGCTTCAGATAAAACTTCGATCATTGATTTAATAATAAAACTTCTTTAAAAATTCCCGTAAAAAGTACGCTCCAGCGTGAAAAAAAAAAAAAAATTGAAACAGATCATACCTTCCACGTTGCTGCGTTGCGCCGGAAATAGCAGAATGTATTTTGGAACCAGTTGTATATCTCGTTTAGCGTCAATTGCTTGTCCGGAGATTCGATGATGGACTGTAAAAGAAGACGAGTTAATAACAATTTCTTTAAAATATAAAAAAATTTCTCGTTCTCGAGGAAGCGAAGGGATAGATTTTTAGTACGATGAGATTGGAGTCAGGTTGTACTAAAAATACAGTTTAATATATACTTTTACAGGCCTGTAAAAATATATTAATTATATATTATAGTATTAATTAATTGCTTGATGTTACACATGTTTGATAGCACACACGTGGAAATATCGATGATATATATAGTATTTATTTAATTTATTGGCAGTTGCGACATTATTAACAATTTCATATTTAAATGATATTCATCGCATTGATTGATTGAATTTAATTATGAGAATTATAAGTAAACTGTATATAACTGTGTATAGCTTTTATATAATAAATAATTTACATCCACGTGTCAATTTTAAATCATTATATCTTTCTGATTATTTAAAAACATAAATTATGATAAAAAATAATACTGTCGGATGTGCACCATCTTAAGGAATAAGTAATTTTAATATCTCGTCTAAATGAAACTTGTCTAATAAAATCTAAAATATGCAATTTATATATAATATTCAAGTAATATTATTAGTATCGTAAAGCGATTGATTAGTATTAAAGTATGCCAATAACAATTCTTGCGCATCTATTGAAATTTATATATACAAATATAGATGCTCATTAAATGCTAATACATGATGTGTTCATGTGCTACATACACGAATAGTGAAATTACCTGACGTATCAATGATGCATACGTGAACGGCGGTCTAACGTCTGCATTTTTGTAGAAATCTCTATTTCGCTGAATTTCTGGAAAGAACACATGATTTCCGATTTTATTATTCATTACGTACATGCTTAAACTACTAATTTAGAGTAGTTTAATTTTTGAGTCTAATAAGTAATTTGTTACTAATAAGAATGTTTGATAAATAAATTAATAGTGATCGATTGAATTTCATAGTTGCGGAGCTAGAAAATTATTTATTTAAGGAAATTAAATTCTTCGTAGCAAACTTTATCTATAATTCAGTAAAAATAAAAGTAAAAAAAAAAACAAAAACAAAAATTAAAATAAAAAAAAAATTAAAATAAAAAAAAAAATGAAAAGAAAATTCATTGAAAATGCATGGAAGTTAAAATAATACAACCGTATATAGATATATTATAGACAAGATTTTCCACGTAAACGGAATGGTATTTCGATGCAAGTTACATATCATCTCATAGGAATATCAATAAAGTTTTACGAAAAATTATTAATACAATGACCAAATAGAAAGAAGGAAAAAAAAAAAAAAAAAAAAAAAAAAAAAATTTTTGGGAAAAAAAATATCGTGAATTGAAAATAGAATTGAAATATATTGAAAAAGTGAGCAACAAGGTAAGAAGAAAGGCTGTTTCGTTTGTAATATTAAGAACTGAAGATGAACCGATGATTTATTTATAGTAAAATCAATGTTATTGTATGCACACTTGTATGAACGGCAAAAAACAAAGAAGCTACATATCTTACATATGAATAAGATAATAATTTGCGTTAAAAGTAGCCCACTAATTGCCTACAATTTCTTAAGGTTGTATGTACTTGATGTAAATGACGTCATTTTTAAGTCGCGTGTAAAATTTATTATTCTACAAGTATTTCTCTTACAATCTACATAAGAATCGATATTTTACCAAAAGAGCTTTTGTTCTTTATCGCTATAAGAGCGGAAAGTTGAGATTAATGATATATTTGAATTTCTATGAGGAAATTATCATAAATATTGTGCGCTGTAAATTTGATTATATTTTGGTAATTTTTCAATTCAAATTTATCATTACAAAATTCAATCGATCATTCATAGAGATAAATAGAAATACATCTAACAATACGCATTAAGGTTAATTTACTTCATTAAGCAAGGTAAATAAACGAAAAGCAATTCCTTTGTATTGCAAAATGCAAATGATGTACATGAAAATCAAAATCAATGTTATACTTGCAATATTCTCTATTATCTATTACTTGATATAAAATAATATAAAAATATAGGAATGTAAAACACGATACTATTTTATATAAGAAGAGCTCAAATACTACATTAATGAAGTACATATATTTATATATTAATTAAATGGCATATGAAACAATATGTACTTAATTTATTTTTATTTCAATATTATTTCTAAAATTCGAATTTTTTTTTTTTTTTTTTATACCCGTTTTTAAACGACCCGACTTACTTGTCCATTACAAATAATTATACTATACATCACAACAGACAGAATGTCTCTTATAATTTTTAATAATTAATCCTTTTCCACTTTACTTTATTAATTATTTATTACATCTACATTATTGAAGATATTAAATACCATAAAAATTCTTATTTATACCAATTGGTAAAAGATATATTATTTTTTTTTTTTATTAAAATGAACTTATAAAAATATTATAAATTAATAAAAGTTACATGCGTAGTATGATTACGTTTTATTAAAGTTTTAATACACGGGGCTTACCATAGAAACATTATATAAACATTAACAAATATAAACATTATACCCTATAACATTAGTACACACACACGCACGCACGCACGCACGCACGCACGCACGCACGCACGCACGCACGCACGCACGCACGCACGCACGCACGCACGCACGCACGCACGCACGCACGCACGCACGCACGCGCACACACACACACACACATATATATATATATATATACATATATATATATGGCATTGAAACATTTGATTTAATTGTTTATAATGTATGAAATTAAATTTTTAATAAACTTTTCCACGTATTTATAATTGGATTATTTACACATACACACACATATATATATATATATATATATATATATATATTTATTTAATAGATTCTTTATATCTAAAATAATTTTGGTACTGATCAATTGTTGATTATAATAATAATAGATTTGATATTACTTTAAAGAATACTCTGATTCTGTTGTACATGCAAATATACATTTTAATAACTTTTAATATTGTTTGATATTTTATATTTATGACATTTCAACATTGACTGTTAAAACATTAAAAATTTATTATAAAGTGGTAAGTATAAATTCGGTATCGGTTATATTAACTTTATAAAAAATGTTTTATTAAGTTTCCCGTATATAACCAACAAACATCACAATGTAAATTTATTGCATTTTTTGTAATTTGCATTTTGTATTAATTGAAATATGCGTTTAATCATTTGATCTTTTCTTCGTTTTACTTCATAGTTATATACGGTCGATCATTATTTCGAATTCAATAGATCTTGTACATCATTATTTCACGAGGCTAAAATATCTTTTGCTAAAATACGCGCAGTTTTACTTCCATATCCTATTATACCAAAAATTCCAATTTACAATTAGGATTAGATTGTAATTACAAGATAAATGTTTTCATACACATCGTCATTGGCAATGGCAATAAATACGATAAAATTATTGATTTTAAAGCAGATTGTTTCAACAGCAGATAAGAGATAGACTAGCGCAAAAGCCCAATCAAGTTACAAAAGCGGAGGCATTTAATAAAGCAAACTAGTTTGGATTTAGTGAAAATAATAATTATTAAAATATTGCAAGATTTTTATGATTCATTGTATAAAAAGCAGGAGTTCGAGGATTTTTCAAGGTAAGACAAATTGCGAAGGTAGTAAAATTAAGTTTAAACACAAACGAGCGATATTGTTAGCCAAATTGATCAATGTCAAATCAGCAGACACGACATTACGAATGACTTACGACTGACGAAGAGAAATTCCGTCTAAGATATAAGGAAGGATAGGCTCTTAATAAATAAGTAAGCAGGATTTTTCTTCGGCAGTCCTGTGCAATTATAAAAGTCAGGCAGGCGGTTATTTAAATAGAGTTAGAGCGCTATTAATCGGCGTTGCAAAAAGTTTATGCAGAAAAGAGACGGCGAGTGAGGATAAAGTTGACAGTACCTTGTTGGACGTCTAGGCCAGCGCGCTCCAGCATGTAGGGCAGCCCTACACGGTGGGGGAGGCGGGCAGCACAAAGAAACGGAGAAATGAGAGAAACGATTACGTATCAATCGTGAGTGAGATATTGTCGGTTACTCTTAGTACGTATTTAGCTAGTATCGTTTAAGTCCCGACATAACTCTGAGAGTGCCAAAATAAAAAGACAGAGCCGGCTGCGAACCGAGTTGGAAACGCAATGACAATCGGCCGCCGCTGATTTTACGGAACGACGGCGCAACAATTTTGCCCCCTCCAAAATACATTCTGCTATTTCCGGCGCAACGGAGCAACGTGGAAGGTATGATCTGTTTCAATTATTTTTGCGTAATTTTAACGTTTTATAACGAGCGTTCTGTTGTCGTAATCATGGCTTTTCTTTCTTACTTTCTTTCTTTATTTCTTTCTTTTTTTTTATTTTGCCTCTATATAAGTACGGCAGTTTATTCTATTTATTTCTGAGTTTACAAATTTTTCGTTCTCCTGTTTAGTGATTAGTACTATTTTTTTTTTCTTTTTTTTTTTCTTATCAACTTTGTCTATTTAATATTGCAAGTTTATCTGGATTTGAGATTGTACGAATTGTAAGTAGTTGTATCGTAAGAAACATAGAATATAATTTGCCATAATAATACTTAATTTATAAGTATTTTTCATGCATTCTCAATATTGTATGTACACAACTCACAACAAAAGGCTTATTCAAAAACAATAAAATAACAAAAATATTGTTCGACCATCGCCTAAAGTCAACAGCAGGCGATCTCACCCACTTCTCTCGTCGATCCGCAGCCCTGACTATTTTGGCTTAGAAACATTATCATATTATTATACTAACTAAGAGAAATATATACCCATATACATACATTTCTGTATATATATACATATATATATGTGCGCGCGCGCGCGCGTGTGTGTGTGTGTGTGTCTGCGCGTGTTTAAGTGCGCTTGTATTTGTGTATATATATATATATATATTAAAATGAGGGATGCGGATGGATCTGTCAATATCTATACAATTTTGTGCGTGTGAGTGTGTTAATATGCTTTGTGTGTGTGTGTGTGTGTGCATATATATATATATATATATATATATATATATATATATATATATATATATATATACACACACACACACACACAAAGCATTTCTTTTTTATCCGAATTTGTCTCATTTATGTTGCATTTATGCATTGAAATGCGCCAACAAGGTGTCCACACTGGAATTATAAAGACATGAGCTCCATAAATTTTTCACTTAATATTTGCAATTATCAAAAGTTCAATACATTGTTCGCAAATTAAATTGAATTCATTTTATAATTTAGATGCGTTATTACAAGCAATGTTCACTCTGCTCTGGAAACACACAAATGTGATTGCGACATTTTAACTTCATAAATTCAGGGAGCACAAAATCTTCAATTAGCTTTAGTTGAATTAGTTTTGAAAAAAGAAATGACTCATTACTGAACGGATGTTTTTTTTTTTTGTCTTTGTTTTGTTTCATATATATTAATCACAATTCACACGGAAGAGAAACACATTTATAGAACAGATAGAGGAAGATCAAGAGAGGACCGTAAAGTGCATTCTCAATAAAAACTATGATTAAGAAAAAATCTTTCATCGTAGATCTTCCCGATCTCTTTAAGCTATTGAAAATGTCTCGAATGATTTTCTTTTACTGAGTTAGCATAAAATCGGCATATAGTCGCATAAAAGAGACTTTAAGTGGCAATAATTGCTCGGCTGCATTTTCAAAGCTGAGAGATCGTTAGATCGAATTTTCCGATTTTTGTTTTTCCTTTTCTCGTGAAATTAAAGTTACCTTCGTTAATATCTATTCCAGATCTATCGACGGATACTCTGCGCCTTACAGTGCCCTCCTCATATAGTCCTACGGATAGTATTTTCTCGTTTTCAATTACGTTCGATATATTGTTATTTTTTTTTTCTTTTTTTTTCTTTGCACTTGTTCAATATTAGCGTTAGCAAACATCACAAATTCTGATAGAAAAGATAGATAATTACGTACGTTCGTTGAAGCTTTAAGTCAACTATTGTTCAAATGGTAATACAAATATTATGGTAAAATTGAAAATGTAAGATAGTACACTGAGAGGTCATATCATATGAATGAGATAGCGAGAGAAAGTAGATACTTGTAATGTATTTGTTAGTGTACATTAATATATGTGGTAATTATTGTATTTGTAATAAATTTAAATTATAAATTAATAAATAATGTGATAAAATTTTGGAGCAGATTTTTACGTTGCGTACATGTAACTATAAATATATTATGTTAGATAACAAATAATCATTAAATTAACTATTCTCCAGATATTTCAAACACTTGTATATACTAAAATTAGCAATAGGAAATATTTTATTTTTTTTATAAAAGGCTAGAGTGATTTTTCATTTTAAGTATTTTAGAATCAATTGCCAATTTCGCTCTCCTATAGATATTTTGTTACAAAAATGATAAAAGAAATTATTTTGAATTAAGTGATTGCATAATCTTTTTTAAATATTCGTATTGATTTTAATGTCATTAGTCTTATTTAAATTCACACTTAAATTTATTATTAAAAAAAAAAAAAAAAAAAAAAAAAAAAAAAAAAAAAAAAAAAAAGACCCACATGGAAAACACAAGGATTTGAAAAACAATAATTTTAATATAATGTACGTTTCCCTCATTATCTTAAACTGTAATTGACATCATTAATTAATATAATATTGATAAGTAGAAAATCATATTGGAATCAAAAGTACAGGCCAAAGGTAAATTTTGCATAAGTAAATGACCAAATTTGATGAAAAAATTTGTAACAAAAAAAAAGAAGAAAAAACAAAAAGAAATTGTAACGAATAGTGTTCATACATTCAGTGGAACTGAAATGTAGACAGTTGTGTTAAAATTATTGTAAATAATGAAAATAATAACAATAATAATGATGCCAATAATAATAATGGTAATCAAAATAACAGTAATTAAATATAATGAGGACAACGTCAATGATGATTATGATTACGATATTGATCAGGATGATGAGATGATGATGATGATGAAATAATAATAATTATAAAAATAACAACAATAATAATAATAATGACAATAATAATAATAATAATAATAATAATAATAATAATAATAATAATAATAATAGTAATAATAATAATAATAATAATAATAACAATAGTAACAACAACAACAGTAACAACAACAACAATAATAACAATAAAATAATAATAATAATAATAATAATAATAATAATAATAATAATAATAATGCTAGTAATGATGATATATCGCGTTCATTATCATTAGATTGAAAATATTTTCAATTATGTGTTTATTATGTACACGAGAGGGATTGAAAATTACGAAAAGAAAACAAAAAATAGCGAACCATTATTAAAGAAAACGATGCAATCAAGTAAAACAACAGAGCTGAGTTAAAAAAAATCTCGGAGCTAGATGTCGCGTATCGTGTTAATGTTTAATAAGAATAATGATAGTATGGAGTCGTTGGATGAGGTTGGCAATGGTCCGAATTAGGTGGGACTGTGGTTTGGCTGGGTCATTTTATGGTCAATGGCTCACCTCCGGCGAGCGAAAGGGTGGACTTGTCGCTGATCCTCCTGCGGATGGGACCGGCCATGCTCGGTATATTTGGCATGTTGGGCATGCTCCCGGGTATGTTGGGCATGGGGGGCAGTCCCGACATGTTTGACATGTTGGGGAGACCCGGGGGCAGGCCAGGGCCGCCGCCCGACGACGGAGGCAACTGTCCGCCCGCGGGCGACCTCACCGCCGAGACGAGGGCGGACATGGACACCGGCGAGACCTGCGAGACGGCCCCGAAACTGGACGGCGGCTGGCTCATCAAGGCCGAGGAAAGGTTCAGCTTCGGCATACTTGACGCGCTCTGAAACAACATGTTCGTGCAAGCCGGAGAGCGATTTATTAATTGCGGCCGCTGCTTATGCCGTTTGCCGTAATGCGCGGTTCGATCGACCAGCTGCATTCGCTTTCTCAATGATTCGACGATTCGACGATTTTGGTTTATCTATTAGTTTAGCGTTGTTTGAGCAAACGTCCCAATGCTTATTTCATTTAGCGTATCATCGTTACGTCGAGGTAGATAATAAGATTTGTACATGCATGGGCGGTAAGCATCCATACGGCATCGTGCACATGACATTGTGCACGATAAGGACAGACTGAGATCCGGAGGGTGACGGGAGGGGATGGGAGGCGCGGATGAGGCCGGCTTTAAAATTTCAGCTGGGGAAATAGTAATAAATGCCGCCAGACAAATTGTCGGCCAATGTCGATCAAACATATTATCAGCGGTCCTACGACATTACCGAAGATTCCGAGGATTTCGACGGCTCTGGCGACGCCATCTGCTTGGCCATGTGTAGATGATGCATCATAGCCGTTAACCTGTCACGCTCCTTCTGCAGCTGGATCTCCAATTGCGATACGACCTGCATCTGCACCCGCGCTTGTGCCGTCGACCTGTCGTCCAGCGTGTGTTCCGTGTTTAAGTGTCTGAATCAGTATTGGTGAAATCAGTATGCGTTATTGTTCATAGACGAGGAATAATGGGAATTTTTTATGTGTGTGTCGAGGGGATTTTATTGCGCAGGCACTTATCAAAATAAAATAAATTGCATCGACGGATATAGTCATTGGAATCATCTATCTCTCGAGTATTTGTCAAAATGCGAATTACAGTCGATGTGTACTCGAGGCTTAAAATGGATCATTGTTATTTGAATTTTTCGAACAATACTATTCTGTCAATACTATTAATAATAAGCAAATATTTATTTATATTTAACATACTGGTTTTCACGTCGAGCAGATACTTTAAATTACTGACGAATTAATTATGAAATTAATGTTTAAGTTTGGTCTTAACTTTCTTAACTCGACTTCCCAGCGGCTAAATTGTCAAAAGGAATTTAATTAGAATTTCATCGGTTTCTCCCAATGAATCAAAACATATTCAGGGAGCGAATTTAATTGATTTGCCATTCACTAAAATTTTCGAACAGTTAGAGTTCCTACTTCATAACTAATAAGGATGAAATATATTTTTCGTTCCTAAAAATTCTGAAGGAAAAAACTGACCGGAAGATCATTCTTTGCTGTCGCTACAAGTTGAAATTATTTCCATAATCCCCTTGTCGTCTCTTGGTGGCTTTATACTTTGAAAAGCAAATTGTTCGCGTGGGAGATCGGAATATTGAGGCGAACGACGAATAAGAGAGAAAAGACAAGTGGAGGGGCTGGGGGGTGGGGGGTTTAGGAGATGGTTTTGTCTTCCTCTCAAAAGTATAATGACGTGGTCGAGCGCCGTGAATATTAATGAGATAAAGATAATTAACGTCTCTCTCTCTCTACCTCTCTCTCTCTCTCTCTCTCTCTCTCTCTCTCTCTCTCCTTTCCTCTCTGTGCTTCTCTTTTATTTTTCTCTTCCCTTCTACTCCTGCTCCTTTCTATTCTAAGCAACGATTTTCTTGACTGATGGTAAAGACGGGAGGGTGACCGTATGGCGGAAAAACGTGATGCGGGAGATGGAGAGGAAGAAAGTAGAAAGAGACGGGCTTCAAGGGAGTAAGCTCACTCGTGATTACTATCTTCTATCTTAATGGTGTTATGGACACAAACGCATTCAAAGCCATTTTCGCTGACTCGTACGAATTTTTTTTCCTTTTCTTTTTTCTTCTTCTTTATCTCGAATCGACGGCTATTTATTGCGAAGCGACGCTACAGTATCAATTTAATTTCTTTAAATGTCGTAAATGGTGTCTGTGCTCCCTTGTCGTGATCGCCTTAATTTTATGAAACTGGCGATGGAGATGAGAGGAAATGGTGATTACCGAGTTGCCGGCGTATCGATGCTCTTGAAGTTACATTTTCTCAATTCCAGAAACATATTTGACATTTCGATGCAATAGTGTAACGAGCAAAATTTTGCCTTAATCTTAAAGGCTTAAAAAGCGGCAATTAACAAAACCACATTATAATAGCACCAATTCCTACATCATGAAATCTCATTTATACTCAATTTATAATAATACAACGCTCGACCGCGTACGAATTAAAAAGAATTACCGAGCTAATCTAAATTCAAATATTAATTTGTCCGACAAGGTCCATTGACAATTATAATAGAAGGATTAAATAAATACAGGGGTGCTCGATGATTATACTCACTTGAGGAATGTTTGATAGTCATCGCATACGGCCTCGCATCCTGGCCATTTACAGACTCCGTGTCCGTAAAGTGGATGCTGAATTTTCTCATTGCAGGAAGTGTCGAGCGGCTTCTCGTCCAGTTGCGTCGTACCGTTGATTTCCGCCCGACGATTTGAAACTAGTGAATTAAGAAGGCCTGCGATAAATCGCCCGACCATTGTTAAGTTAAAAAGAAAGTTTGAAAGTACAGAGTGCTTGGATTTTTTGAAGGTGTGCAATGGTGCTGTTTGCTTTTCGATTATGGGGAAACAGTAGTAGTAGCTTTTCGAATACGGCAAGTATTCGTAATTCGTAATTTTTTTATCATTTCTGTTGTTGTTGTTGTTTTTTTTTTGCGTTTTTTTTGTGTTTTTTTTTTTCTTTATAATTTAATTATTAATATCGTTAGAGTGAAGAGATATGATGGATTCGGGGATTCTCTAAAGCTTTACTACATTAATCGTTGATTGAGATTAGAAGTATTGGGGGCCAATCGTTTAACCGAGACTTATAATAGACTGCTTTGTAGAAAAAAAAAAAATCATCAAAATAATTGATGCTTGGATATTGCCGCTCGCGCTCGCTCGATCACACAAACACGCAACAACAATAACAATAACAATAACAATAACAATAGCAATAATAATAATGATAATAATAATAATAATAATAATAATAATAATAATAATAATAATAATAATAATAATAACAACAACAACAACAACAACAACAACAACAACAACAACAACAACAACAACAACAACAACAACAACAACAACAACACGCATGCACAGAGGAAGAGAGGCTAAGGACTTGGGGGGGGGGGGGGGGGGTTTGAATTCACCATTTAGCCCAGAGCTTGACTTTGACACATTGGAATTCACGTGCGATTCGGAACTCTCGGATTGTTCGGTTTTCCATGCTGGTAATGCCTCGGCTGGTAAACCTTTCAATATAAACAATCAAAAAATTAAACATTATATGAATTATTTTTGAATTTGCGCGACGTTAATTATATTTTCGCTTTTTTGTTAAAATAATTATTAAACGTGCGTGAAATGAGTTAGAGATTGATCCACGTTCACGCTCATTTTACGTTTTTTTTTTTTTTTTTTTTTTAATATTTTAACGACCGTTCACATCCATTCCCAAGTACTCCATAATAATTATATCGTATTGCGAATGTTTATAAGAGTTTATAGGATTTTACAAGTTACAAGTATTTACAAGGTAACAACGAATCAATTGCTTAAAAATAGAGAGAAGAAATGTCATTTATAGGTACACTGCTTCGACAACATCGTGAATTAAAATTTCTAATGAATTTGTAAAGTAAAAAATGAGCAGTAAGCCAATCAGCTCAAACAATAATTATTTCCATCCGTTGCCAATGCAACGGATTAGTGATCTTTAATATTGACAATAACATCTCTATAATTTCTGGAATGTTAAATATAAATCCGCCCCCCGTCCGCCCAATCATTCATTTATTAGAAAGTGCTCGTAAAATAATAACCTGAAGAGTGATTGTGCCCCTGTAATCCCAGACCTTGTTGCAGTAGGTACTGTCGCTGCGTGATCTGAAGCTGCTGAATGAGCTGCTGCTGCTGTAAAGCGAGCTGCTGCAGCGGCGCCGATGCCTTTTTTTTATCTGCCGTTTGCAGTAAATGCGTCTGCTGTATTAGATTCAATTGCAGCTGCTCCTGCAACTGTTGCATCGCTTGTTCAACCTGCTTTCGACCTAATTCAGCCAACTGGTGTTGGTGCTAAGAATTTTTTGTATGGATTATATTATTTTGCATTGTATGTCATAGTGGGTGCATAGTGCATACATTCAAGGTACATATGCGGCTATTGAGAGTAAATTGTCTGTAGTTTGCTTACGGTTTTTAAAGAGGAAAAGTATCCAAATCTATCCTGATTCGACGCATGCTCTGACGACGATTCCTTAAATTGACCAAAAATTTATTAATTACTACGTATAAATGTCGGTAACGAGAGAAACAGACGGCCATGCAAATAAATATCGATTATAACCATACAGATAAATATAAATATATAAAGACCATCAGCATTTCATCGACGGTGTGTTAATTCTCTTACATCCGTTGTTCATAATTTTTACGAGAACGCTCGCTATGATTCATTTAATGCAAAAAGTCGATTCTAGATTGACAAAGTACCGGTGTAAAGATCCCCTATCGGATCATCGATGAATTCGATCACTGTTGCACTATTCAGTGCCTCCTCGATATTCCAGATATTTGTTCGTTTGATCGGCTATTAGCCGTTTGAATGCCTGACGCGTAAAGATATTAACCATCCACCAACCTGATGATGTTGCTGCTGTTGTTGCTGCTGCTGTTGCTGTTGCTGCTGTTGCTGCATATATAGCGAATGCTGCTGCATAAAGGACTGCAGCTGTGTGGGATTGAGTATGTGTTGCTGCAGGATTTGTTGCATTTGATGCAGACCGCTCACTGGGCTGAGCATCATCTGTGCCGTTGTTTGGGAGGACGGTGGTGGAGCCCCGGGCGGCCCTCCTGGTGGACCTTGTGAAGGGTCGGGCGGAGACGCCCTGTAAACTCATATTAATTTCATTGCTCTATTAAAGTCATCGATCGACGTGATCTTTCCTTAATATTGTTTGATCGCGCATTATTGCCGATTGTCCCTGGCTTCGCAATACTAATCAATCACTTTAAGACTTTGAATTTCCTGGTACTGTATAATGTGCTTCTTTTCATTAATACTTAGTTATTACTTTCATTATTAACTCGATATTATTGACTCTAATAATCAGGTATCTTGAAATTTTCAATATAACAAAGTATGAACAAAACTGACCTTTAGGCCACTTTACACTAAATTCCCGTATTTTTATACTTATCGACTATTTCATTAATCCCTTTATCCTTCATAGCAGATAAAGCATTTAAAAAAAGGCCCGCTTCCGACTTATCGCGTATTGATCGCTCGATCGCCAAACGGTCTGAGCATTAACATTACGATGTAACCCACGAGGCTCGCGAGACGTTGACCTTAAAAATCATGAAAATCTCAACTCATCGAACAAGTCTTTCTGGATAATTCTTACCGCTGCGGAGCTTGAGGACTCTGATGTGGACTAGGCTGAGGTCCTGGCGCGCCGGAACTTGGCTGCTGCGACTGCTGCGTAATGAGGGGCTGCTTTTGCTGGGTCATGGGTGCTGCTGCTGCTATTGCTACTGTCACTGGGTGTCCGCTCGGACTAAGCTTTCCATTGCTTTGATACTCAATGCCTAGCTCCTGCTGTTGCTGCTGCTGCTTTTGCTGTTGTTGCTGTTGCTGTTGTTGTTGCTGCTGCTGTTGTTGTTGTTGTTGTTGTTGTTGTTGTTGTTGTTGCTGCTGCTGCTGCTGCTCGACACTGACGTGGTCAGGTCCACTCGAGCTTTTTCTTTCGCGACAGCGTCCTAATCGTGACTCGCACTGATGTTGCTGCTGTTTCAGAGCCGTGTAAAGACTGTTTGCCTGCAAAAATATTCAAGTCTCTTATTGACGGGTTGAGGTGATTACGTTAGTTTTGTAAAGATTTTTTTTTTTTTTTTTTTTTTTTTTTTTTTTTTTGGAATTGTCGGAATAGAGTAGAAACCCAGTGATCAATGACCTACGTGCCCAAGTAGATTTTTTTTTTTCAAATATTACAATTGCAGAAATCGATGTTTTTAGTTTTGAGATGATAATAAAAATGATAAAAATTTTAAACACTCAGTCACGCCTACTAAAGTTCAACTCTTATCAAATATTGTTTTCTCAAATATTGTCATAAATACGGTACGAAAGATCGTTACTTTTTACTGTAATTTGGATAGTAAGTGAAAACATAACATTTAAAGTAAACATCGATAATGTTCATCATTGTTGATTCAGTTATTTATGGATTTTATAATATTTATTTATGAATAATTTAAAGTGCCATAAAGTAATAGATATAATGGCAGATACTCACTATGACTTTAACCGCTGAGAATAATGTAATACCAAAGAGTTGTAGAGCCGATAGAATCTCACTAGTAATATTAAGTAATGATAAGGTAAATTTTGAGTTAAGTCATATGTAAATAATGACGCAAAGCGAAGCATTTCCAAGAACACATGGTTTTTTTTTTTTTTTTTTTTTTTTTTTTTTTTTTATTAATCGCTTACGATAAATAAGAAATGCTTCATGTACATTATTTATATATGACTTAACTTCAAGTTTCCGTTATCATTATTTAGCAAATTTCAACCTTCTTCGAAAAAATTTCTATATCTTATTCAAAATTCAATCAAAATGATTAAAGGTCTTGTTAATGTAAGGGGCCAAAAAAAAAAATCCGAGTTAATGTATTATATTAAATAAGAATGCAGCAATTCGCGGGCAGTAATTACTTGCACCGCTTTTTAAAAAATAATACAGATGTTGCAATATTCGTAATTAATATTCTTTCGAGTGCAAATAATAATGAAATTACGATGTCAGGAGCATCAACTCTCGATCTCTGCATTTTTCGAAAATATTTCGCAGTCTAATTGAGCGTACACATAATAGTAGGACCCTTATAATTTTTCTCTCATTCCATATTTTGAGAGAGAAAACGGGTGTCCTGACTAAACACTGATAACCCACAAAAAGAAAAAGAAAAAAAGCCATTCATAGAGAGGGGGGGGAGAGACTTCTTTGCATGTTATAAACATACATAATTGTACACAAATAGGATTAGCATAAGACTTAAATTCGTGAAAGAGCGAAATTGTCGATTTCCATCACTTCTATCTCTTACTATTACGAAGGAAGAAGAAGAAAAAATACGAAGAATTGAAAACATTACGTTTAGGAGATAAAAGGGAATAGTACTGTTTCAACAGTGCTTGCGAAATATTTATCCAAAGACATGAAAATTATTTAAGGACATAATGTTAACATATTACGTAATTATTTATTAACTATTATATACTATACGGCTAAATTATAAACTATTCATACATAAATGAAAAACATTATTAAATAATAATAATGAATAAATATAAAGATTTAGTTTATCTTTACCAACAGATCTTATGAGTCTATTGGTTAAGTAACTTTGTTTGAAGGACGATATTTTTAATAAGAATTAGGAACATTTTACTAATCATATTACCAAGATATAAACATATGTGATATATAACTTGGAATATTTTATAAATATATAGGCCATTTTTTATTAATATATATATATATATATAGAATGGACGTGACAAATAATATAATTAGAAAATTATCTACACGAACAATCCTATCTCCATTGATTACGTTTTAAATGATATTTAACAAAAACTAATGAATACCAAACATTTCTTTTTACCAAACTGATCGCCATTATTTTTTCTTTTCTTCTTTTAAATTATACCTTCTAGCAAAGAAATGGAACTACTATACAATAACAAATGATACATAAGTAACTATCATCAATTAGGCCGATATTTAATAACGAATCTAATTTCATTTAGGAAAATAAAATAAATATAATAATTACAAAAGAATAATGAAAAGTACATGAAATAATAATTATATGAAAGTATGAGCTTTGAAACTATTATCGATTACATTTTCAAGCACTTATATATAAATAATACCTTTCGTTCTATAAGTATTTCATATTATTTTTCAGATAAATAAACAATTTCATGTCATTGACTCTTGAAACAAGTATTTGTACCTGAATTAGTAATTAAGTTGACTCAGATGATCTATCATACTGTTAATTTTTGTTAATGTTTGAATATCTTTAAATACTCATAACATTACATATAAAATAATAAGCACCCCAGGCTTCGCATTGAAGTATCTCGTAGAATTTGGTATATAATAAAATGTCTTTAAAATATTTTCATTCAATATTACTCACGTACATGGTAAATCTTTAATCAAACAGCTAAGTTCTTGGCTAAATTATGTTTAATAATTGAAAAATTAATTAAATGATATTCGTGATTCAAATATACAATTAGATAGTAGAAAAAATACAAAATTTTCAATCCTTTTTTGTAACAAAATGTATATTATTTTTTTTTTTACACGTTAAAATTTTAGATGCTTAAGTTCAGAAATATGTAAGTCGTATTTTATGAAATTTTAATTTAATAAAAACACATTTGTGCCGAGGCGAATGGAGAAATGTTGTCCTACGAATATATAAGCGGCAGTAGACAATCGATGCTATTCAAGCATTGAAAGATTTTTTTTTCTTCATAATATATGAACGTATTCAAAATTTTTTAAAATCTTCTACTCCTCTATTTCTTTTGTCATTTTTCTATTTATTTATTCGGATCTTGAAGAAATGATTGAGTTGCCTGCTCTTTGATAATAACATGCTACTCGAACATAAGGAAATTATTAAGAGAAAATGTTCGTTATTTAATTTTCGAGACATTGTTTGATAAGGGCGCCTACGTGATAATTCGAATAAATATTAATTTGAATAGTTAGATTAGATAACTAGTAAATAAGAGAGTTATAGTTATGATTATCAAAGCGATGATTTTTAAAAAATTTACATTTTAATTGTATATGCAAAATATATTCATATAGTATTTCATATTGAAAGTATCTTGGCATTGTTGCATAAATATCATTTCCTAGAAAATTTTATTAATTATCTTTATTTGATAATTCGTATTATCTATACCGAAAATTAACGAATTAAATTGACGAATCGTAAAGTTTAAATGGGCATGTGTCGAGTCCAATACATTTATGACTATTGGATTTGAAGAAATTCATTTTAACTCTGGAGAATCGAAAGAAAAGGTTATTGATTAGCAATTTTGGAATATTTCATTATTAATATTTCATAATTGAAGAATGTATTAAGTATAAAAAAAAAAAAACAAGTTGCTTAATATCCTAATGCATGTATAGAATTATCGCTCTTTTAAAAGACTATAGCTGAAAGTTAATATTTATATATTCAAAAATTTTTATGCGACTTACAATACAGTTAAAAAGTTAAAATGTTTTTAAAGTAGAATGACTTTTTAGCGGCAAAAATTATTGCTCGTTCTATGCCTAATATTGTGCATGCTTTCTTATTATGAAAATCAATTTTGTAATATTATTTTTTTTGTACTATTTACTCATATACTTTTATCTCAGACATTGTTGATTTTACACTAAAAGAATTTTAGCTTTTTTCTTAGAATTTTTTAGATTTGAAAATAGCCGCTACGTAGACTAATTTTTAGGGGAGACTAAGTTTTTTGAACGTCCATATAATTTACATAACGTATTTACAGAATTTTTTCTTTTATAATAAATTAAAAGCATTTTTTTTTTTTTTTTTTTTATTAATGACTTACAATGATGCCAATTTACAAATATATAGCAGTGTATGTTAGAATCATGGATTTTTTGCTTTATCAATGGTATTAAATTCATATTTTTAAACGTCTTAAGAGCTTGATCAAAGAATTGAAAACGAACAAAATTACACGACTAATTTTTATTAAATACTTGTTTTTGATTTTAATTTCATACAATACATATTTTTATTTATTTCGATTATTTAGATTATATAATGAAAGTTATCAAAAAGGTTGTAAAGTAGTTAAAGAATATTGTTCGTGTAGAGAAATATTAAAAATTTTCATTCTAAGTATAAATGGCGAATACAGCACGATATTATATTGCTGTACATAGATGAATTGTTCTGTAACTAAAGGATTGAAGATGTATAATAATCACAGTACTAGGATTTTCATATTTAAAAATGATGTGAAATATGTGTAAATCCACGAAAATATCTAGTTTCTTATCAATGACAGATGCAACATTATTTGTTTTTATGTAGACTTATGCGAAGGCTAATATAAATAAAATTTCAAGGTTTTATAATGTAATTAAGATACCGCGTTTAATTTGTTATCGTTAGTTACAATTTACACATTAAATAAGCATTTTTTTTTTCTACAATTATATCTTTACTGTAATAAATTTCTACACAAATTCCCAAGAAATTTAATACAATAGAATTTTATGTAATTTTTCACTTTTTAAAAGTTTTTTTAGATGTTTTCATATTTAAAAATATAAATGTTATTATGCCATCGGGTTTTATCATTAATTTATAATATTTTGCTCAGATTTTATATAGTATATATACAAAGACAAAAATTATCAGGGTAATTTATTTGAACGATTTTTGTAAATCTAACTATAGTCAGGATTAAATTAACTCTAAGTATCGATTGAATGTCACATGATCTATTATACTATATATATATATATATATATATATAGTTAATAGAAAATTAAGACATTTTAAATATTTTTCTTAAATTAATATTACTACATAATTACAAGTTGATACTATTTTAAATAAATGATCTTTCTTTTTTTTTTTTTTTAGTTAAAAATATAATTTAAATTTCCATACGTAAACATGTATAGAATTCTTTCTTTATTTTCATAATGAAAGAAAAAAAGGAAAAAACAAGCCGTTTTATCTTTG